AGCACTGCAGTAACACTGATGTAGTGGTGGTGTGTTAGTGTGTGTTGTGCTGGTCTGAGTGGATCAGACACAGCAGTGCTGCTGGAGTTTTTAAACACTGTGTCCACTCACTGTCCACTCTATTAGACACTCGTACCTTGTCAGTCCACCTTGTAGATGTAAAGTCAGAGGCGATAGATCATCTACTGCTGCACAGTTTTTGTTGGTCATCCTTTAGTCCTTCATCAGTGGTCACAGGATGCTGCCCACAGGACGCTGTTGGCTGGATATTTTTGGTTGGTCGATTATTCTCAGTCCAGCGGTGACACTGAGGTGTTTAAAAACTCCAGGAGCACTGCTGTGTCTGATCCACTCAGACCAGCACAACACACACTAACACACCACCACCACATCAGTGTTACTGCAGTGCTGAGAATGATCCACCACCCAAATAGTACCTGCTCTGTGAGGGTCCATGGGGGTCCTGACTACTGAAGAACAAGGTAAATGGGGCTAACAAAGTATCAGAGAAACAGATGGACTACAGTCTGTAATTGTAGAACTACAAAGTGCACCTATATAGTAAGTGGAGCTGATAAAATGGACAATAAGCGGAGAAACAAGGAGGTGGTCATAATGTTATGCCTGATCAATAAAAGTAAAAGTGTTATCAGTTAAAAATAGTTTATATAGCATGTTGTAAATTGAGGCAATGTAACTAGTTACTACTTGCCTTTGTTGCAATGTTTCAAAAATTGGATTTAATCTGGACCTAAATGTTCTTGGAATAAAACAAACATGAGTAAAATAAATTTTGACTTATGAAACATGGATTTATAATGAATTCTCTAAATGGTGATTGTAATATTTAGTTTAATGGAATTTACCACACACACTGTTCTGGTCCTCTTACCTGAGAGAAGCTCCTCATCCACATCCTCATATCCTGAATGCTGTTCTTCAGAGAGGATACTTCCTGTTAGAGGAGAGCAGAACAGTCATCAAACACGTTCAGAATGCAGAACCACCCACAATCCTCTGAGTGCTGTGGATTATTGTGGGTTGATTACAGGAAATAATATCAGTGCAGCCAGTAGAGGGCGCTCTCAGACACAACAACACTGTAACATCAGAGAACTTGTAGAGAGGAAAATTACCAATCTGCAACATCTTCCTGGTTTCTCAAACGCTAGAGGGCACTCCTGAGCGAGTCCAAAATAAATGGGTTGATATGGAGCATTTGAGCAAAATCATAGTTTATAAATGTGTAAACATTTTCATTCTAAAAGAATACACTCATTTCCTGAACACAGAACAACATAAAACATTTTAACACCGCTATTATAGTTTTGAGAGCTTTTGAACTCGAGTTATAGCAGTTTAAAACATCGACTCATGTACGTTCATGATATCAGTGAGCACGAACAGCCAATGAGCTGCTTCGCTCGCCAACCAATCAACACTCAGTAGCAGAAATATTTGCTGTAGAAAAAGGGAAACATACAGGTGAGTTTTCTTTGTTTCAGTGAAATACATCCCTCTACTTTTGAAAATGAAAGGAAAGTTCTGGGAAAGTCATCAGAAGCTATTCACCTTTTCATTTTCAGCCATTTAGCTCCATTCAACTCATTCGCTTGCGGGTGCCCTCTGGCATTTTGCAGTCCTATTTTTGATATAACAAGTGAAATAGGCAGAGGCCAGGGTTATCTTAAACCCACTCTGGTAACATCACACACACGAATAACAAATATTTATGTGACTGTAAGAACATGCTGTTTTTTGTATTTTGTGATACAGAGAGCACAGTGTATGGCAATCATGTAATTGCTAATATTGAAATAAAAATATATACTAATATTTAAAATTACAGGTTTTTCATCACAATTAACCTTTTATCACAACGATTTCATTTAAAAATCACAATACAGTTCTTTCCCCACAAGATGGCAGCAGAGGATCAGTATAGGATCAGTAATCAGTAAATTCAGCAAATTAGACAAAGTTATGAAGTGCATTTTTTATTGTACTGATAAGCTGAGATCATTGCTGACACTTATAAAAAAAAATGAACTTGCCTCACTTTTATGAAATAAAACACTGAGGTCGTATGTAAACATTGTCGAGCTTTCAAAACATACTATTTAATCCCCAGTCCAAACAGTCCTTTTATGGAAACTACGTTGCAAAACAGCCTGTTTTAAATTCACTCTTCCTGTGACGTCACAAAAAGCAACAATTTTTGTATATATCCATGTATTCAGCCTAAGTCAATTTGCTTGGCCCACTCATGATGACGTTATGAGGAATCCAGACTGCTTTTGAACTACAGAGAATACAAGGGAGCCAATTAGAACAGAGATTATTTACATAGATCAGTCTTAAAGGCACAGTAACCAATATTGCCTGTTCAATTCTAAAGGGATAAAGAGGGGTTAGAATGATGAACTAAACAACACAGTACTGCTTGTGAACAGACACTGTCTCTGTAGTTCTGTTTCGCAAATCATGTCTTTCTGCTGAGACGTAGCATATAAAGCATATAAAAATCACTCATTACCGATCACGTGTGCTAGATACTGGAGAAAAAAATACATGCATTTAAATTGATAATTGACTTTGTGTTTTCATTGTTTCTTTGCCAAGGTGGAGTACACAACCCGAAATATAGTATGAGACGTTCAAGTTCAGGAGTTCAGGGAGAGCTCCAGGTACAGCTTACAGCTTACGTACATTAATTTACTTCATACGTAAAATATATATATATATACATATGTGTGTGTGTGTGTGTGTGAGAGAGAGAGAGAGAGAGAGAGAGAGAGAGAGAGAGAGAGCTTCTTAGAGAGCTTTAAAACTTCATATATCCAAGTATTTTCAAGTACTGTATGATCAAGTACTGTATGATCTGTATGTTATTTACACCATGAAGTGTATGTATCAAAAAACTGGAACAGTTTAGGTGACTGAGCTGGTAATTAGGGATTGGGTAGTTATGGAGGGTATTTTTTATTACCTTAAATATATGTATAAAAACCCATACTAAACACCTATTTATGCAGATTCAGTAGCTGTGATTCAGTATGTGTGTGTGACCTGAGTCCTGTCATGATTCCTGGCCTAAACACTGTCCCAGTCCAGCCCCTAACACTCACACTCACTGATTGCCTCTGTTACTCACTGATTGGCTCACTCACTCACAGAATGGCTCACTCACTCACTCACTTACTCACTCATTCACTGGCTGATTGGCTCTGTCACTCATTCACTCACTCACCGATTGACTGTTTTGATCATTCACTCAGATTGGACTGGTTTGCTCACCCACACACTCACTAATGGGCTCAGTCAGCCACTCACTCACTTACTGATTGACGGGCTCACTCACTCAATCAGTCACTCGCTGATTGGTTCATTCACACACTCATTCACTCACTCAGTCATTCACTGACTGGCTAGTGACTCATTCATTCACTCACTCACTCACTCAGTTATTCACTCACTGATTGACTGGCAGACTCACTCACAGTGATTCGCAGTGATTCTTTCAGTCTCTGTATCTCAGACAACATCCACACATATGCACACACACTCCCACAGACTGAACTGAAGGACACTGACACATACACACTTATACATAACAATTATGAGGACATCTCACTCTCTGCTTTTTGCAGTTCCAGTTTATGTCTATGACACGATATTTAAATAGAAATATAATTATTGCATTACACTGAAACACTTCACTTGATATATACCTGACTACTTGCATTTTGCACATTTTATTCTCTTAACAAAATCTGACTTCTTACATTTTTGCACATTTTTGCAACAATATTGGCTGCTAGATTACTGTATCAAACAAATACTGTATTCCATTGCTGTTCTGGCTGTTCTTGAACTTGAACTTGAACTTGAACACTCCTTCGCCACACAACTCTCTCTTACACACACACACACACATTCATACTCTCTATCTGTCCATCTTTCTCTTTCTCACACTGTCATGCACTTACACACGCACACACACACAATTTCTCTCTGTCCGTCTTTCTCTCACACATTGTAATGCACCTGCACAAACGCACACACACACCCACACAAACACCCCCCCCCCACACACACACATACACACACAATCACACACAACCCCCCCAAGCTCTCTCCCTTTCTCTCTTCCCCTCTCTCTCTCTCTCTCTCTCTCTCTCTCTCTCTCTCACACACACATACACACACCTGCAGCTCTGTGGTTTCTCTGTATGTACAAAAATGGACGTTTTACAGGAATTACTCAGTTTAACTTCAGCTGCCTAATAGATGCTTATCAGTAGAATTAACACACTACACTACATGTAGATCTACTCTAACTGTACATTCCATCTAATATACACTAAGCTCTCATTGTAACTGATTTTAATTACATTTATTTCATTTCTGTTAAATTGTGAAATCATTATGCATTCAAGAACATTAAATATTGCTGTGATCAGTGAGAGTGAGCAGGTATAGCTGGGTGTCTTCTGTTATGTCTAATGTAAGTATACTTCAATACAATACAATAATCCTCACGCAGAACCCTCCATATATCATTCACCTCTTTGAGTCGAGTCATTTCTTTTAGTGACGTATGTGCGGTCGATCTCCTCATACACTGCCTCAGTCAGAGTCTTACGCCTCCTCTTAGAGAGCACTGTGAGGGAGACAGAGAGAAACATGGAGCCAGTTCAGTAGAAGAGAAGACTGATGACAGACTGAAGGACTAATGATGTTTAGAGAATGTACAGAAAGTGGATTGTAGATGATCTCTGAATCTCTCTACCTCTCCTGAGCACTCTGTTCTGGTAAAACAGCACAACCAGAAGCACTAAGGCCAGGAAGAGCAGCACTCCCAGAACCAGGAGAGACACTGGAAAGATGGATGGAACAGCTGCTGGAAGAGTTTGTGGAGGAGTGCTCATTCTCTTCACTGGCCGACCAACTGCAAATAAAAATATAAATAGAAACTGTGTAGAAACTGTGTAGATTACTCAACAATCTATTTAGAAACAATTAAAAAAATGACCAACGAGACAAAAAAGTACCTGTGGTGGTAGAGGTGGTGGTTGCTGTTATGGGTGCAGTAGTAGAAGGCACAGATATGTCTGTAAATACAGAAACAAAACATAAAAAACAAACAACCAACAAAGGATAAAATCAAAATATTCACTAAAATAAGGTTTTTGGAGTTAACTGGATATTCTGATTTTGATGTTGTAGTCACTGCATATGTCAAATTAGCTTTAGACAACATTAACAAGTTCTTTTTTAATGGAGGCTTGAAGATTATTAACACTGGGATTAAAGTGATTCCTTTGGAATCAGAAACTTGAAAATCCAGCAGACTCCTCTGACCTGCACAGGTGACTCCAGCATCCTGACTGTGGGAGCAGTCAGTGTGGTTCTTCAGGGAATGAGAACAGTCCCACAGGTGAATCTCATTCCCTCTACACTTCACTCTGTTCAGCCAGATAGGCCCTTCACCAGCACCAAAGACAGCACTCCCATCAGCACTCAGCGCCGACCCACAGCCCAGCTGCCTGCAGACCACCTGAGCATCCCTGATGTCCCACAGATCAGCACAGATGGAGCCCCATGTCTTATTATGATACACCTCCAGCCTCCCAGAGCAGCTTCCATTTCCTCCCATCAGTCTGAGAGGCAGGTGATCTACATCACACATGAGGAGATACAGTAACACCAAACCAGACTCATCACAGTATCAATAGCAACAAAATTGGAAAGTGCAACATAGGTTTTCCATTCTGTCTAAAAGGTACTGATTAAAAAGTCATTATTGTTCTTATGAATAAGCAAAACAATATTTGTAACACTTGTGATTAATATTCTTCTTAATTAAATTGTGCTTATTTGTTTCTTACTTGAGCACTGTCTGTGATGAGGAGATGAGGAACATTTCAGATGGCTTCGTAACACACGATCATTTTTTTCTTCTGTGAGTATATTAAGATAATTCATTAATCATTGAGCTGTTACATACAAATATTTTGCTTATACACTCACCATTCACTTTATTAGGAACACCTGTTCACCTACTCATTTATACAATTACCTTAACAGCAGTTTGGCAGCAGTGCATGAAATCATGCAGATATAGGCCAGCAGCTTCAGGTCATGTTCACATCAACCATCATAATAGGGAAAAAATGTGATTTCAGTGATTTTATCCATGGCATTATTTTTGGTGCTACAGAGGCTGGTTTGAGTATTTCTTTAACTGCTGATCTCCGGGATCTCTCTGGATTTTTCACACACAACAGTCTCTAGAGTTTACTCAGAATGTACCACACATCAAACTTTGAGGCAGATGGCCTACAACAGAAGAAGACCATGTTGGGTTCCACTGCTGTCAGTCAACAAAGCTGAGATTGCAGTGGGCACAGGCTCACCTAAACTGGACAGCTAAAGACTGGTTTCATGAACATGACATTGAGTTCAGTGTTCTTCAATGACCTTCTTCAAAGTCACCATATCTGAATCTGATAGAACACCTTTGGGATGTGGTAGAATGGGAGATTCACAACTTGAAAGTGCACCTAAAAAATCTAAGAACTACATGATGCAGTCATGACAACATGGACCAGAATCTTACATTTTGTAGAATGTGAGTGCAGAGGGAGGCCCCACCCATTTTTAGTATAGTGTTCCTAATACAGTGCTTAATGAGTGTAGATTTATTTCTCTAGAGCATTCAGTTCTGTTGATTGATTTAGCCTAGTGGCACTCATAGAAAATAACCGAAAACATTTTGACATTCTATTCATATCATCTTATAAAACCACTACAAGATCCCTACCTGAGCAGGTAATCTGAGCCACCTCTTTTTGGTTATCACATGTGTTCTGTCCCCAGGAGGAAGATGGACAATGCCATAGAGTGGAGTCATGACTCCTACATTTCAGATCATCCAGCCAGTTAGGAGCTGATTCCACTCTTGCGTTGGTAGCTCCCTCACTGCCAGATCTTCCACAGTTCAGCTCCTGACAGATGAGACTTATTGTCTCTTCATCCATCCCATTTACACACACATTACCCCAGGTTCCATTGTAGAACACTTCCAGATTCCCCTCACAGCCCTCAGTGAGTCTGAACTCTTTAAACTCTGGTGGGAGAAAGATTATTTATACTGTGTTTTTAATGAACATGTTTTTAGAATGTTTAGGAATTATTTTTTTTAATTCATTTTCTAGCATTCCTTGAAAAAGTTCATTACAACATGCAACTTCTACAAACACATTAATATCATGTCACCTGAGCACACGACTCCTACGTCGTCTTTGTGTCCACATTGATCCTCTCCACACAGCTGAAATCTACAGTTCCACAGGGACGCCTTGTTCCCCTCACACTCCACCTCATTCAGCCAGATGGGTCCAGTTCCAGGTCCAAACCGGGCTGGTACTGGAGCACTGAGGGCCACTCCACATTGCAGCTGTCTGCACACCACCTGCGCATCCTTAATATCCCACAAGTCATCACTCACTGTCCCCCATGAGCCGCTGTGGAAAACCTCCAGCCTTCCTGCACAGTCTCCCCCAGAACCAGCCAGCCTGATGGAGCTGTGAGCTGAATTAAACTTACCTACACACACACATACACACACACACACACACACAAACATGCGCACACACTGTAATTCATGTTAAATTCTTCATGCTACAGGGGACGGTCAGTTAACGCACCTAACTTAATGAAAGCCAGCTGATGCTGATCTGGCTGGCAGCGTGAGCGCCTTTTAAAAAGAGCTGAAAGGGAACAGAGAGGGACGAGCAGCAGCAGCAAAAGACTGAGTAAAGAGCTGAAAAGCTGAAGTGATAAAGGACTGAAAAGTCTAGCTGTCTGAAGCCCTTGAAAAGTGGCCAGTTTAGCATAGCGTTGGTTGGTTGTGTTTATTTGGTGTGAGTTTGGAGCAAATAAAAAAATGGCTGCTGCAAAACTGCTTTAAAGTGAAGTCAAAAGATTAAGATGTAACATGAGTTAAATCTGTCACGATTGAAACTGAGAGTTTTTGTCCATAGGCAGAGCCTTATTTTAGCCACACCCCTGCATTTTAGAGCAGGAAGTGAGACTGCATCCCTGTCTCTCAAGTTTACATGGTGAGCAGCAATATTTTTAAAGTAAATGTGTCTTAAAATCATAAAATCATTAAATAACCTTAAGAATTGTCACCACAAAAACAAATATTTCTGCAATTAACTAAACCTTTTGAGTTATAATGAAAATATTATGATTTAATTTGTGTACAACTGTTCAAACCTATCTTTGCTAGTCACGTACTGTCTTGAGTTTTTGAATTTTGCTCAAAATTAGCTAAAACTGTCGCTACCAAAATAGTCACTACTGAAACATTTGTTAGAGTTTTGGGAGTGTCATGATTGTTAGTGATAAAAAGGAATGTTAAATCATTTATGTTAATAAAATTAAAATAATTATATTGGCTTACTGCCTGTTTTAGGCTGATTACTCATTGTTCTCCTTCATGATGAAATACGTTTCTCTTATATATATATATATATTAATATTTGGTATTTGTTTGAGGGTGTCATTGACACTCATTTACTAAAAGGATATTTATTACTTTTACATGCAGTACACTGTTTTGAGATCTCACCACTGCAGACGACTCCAACATCCTGTTTATGAGAGCATGCGGTTCGACTCCATGATGAAATGGGACATTTTGACAGGTGTGTTTCGTTCCCCTGACAGTCAAACACATCAGCCCAGATCTGGCCACTCCCCTCCCCAAACCAGTCTGACCCCAACACAGCCACAGCACTCCCACACTTCAGCTGACCACAGAGGACACTGGCAGCTCTCATATCCCAGCTTACATCACACACTGTGCCCCACTCATTGAGGTGCTGGAGCTCCACTCGACCAGAACAGGAGTCAGAGCCGTTTACCAGCTGAGCCCCTGTGTGACCTGAATATACAACTGTGATGTTAATGAAACAGCATTGAACAGATTACATGCATAAGAATAAAAAATCTAAAGCCATCTAGCTCTCTAGCTAACCAGTTACCTGAAAGAGTGAATGTCAGCATGGGTTTTCTCTGAACCTTTACTAAACTTCATGCAGTAGGCTTTAGCCAGCTTAGTCTTTTAAAGTACAGATTAATATTAATACTTTACCTGAACATACGAGTCCGACAGCATTCTCATGAGAGCAGTTGTGTAAAGTTGATGTTGGACAGTGATAAATCTGAGATTCATTGCCTCTACACTGAAGCTCCCTTGACCACACTTGACCCTCCCCTCTGGTTGCTCCCAGCACCTCCACAGGAAGCCCACAGCCCAGCTCTCGACACACAACCTCTGCATCTTGTTGGCCAAAGCCAGCATCACACACTGTGCCCCAGGTTTTTCCATGGAGCACCTCAACTCTCCCAGAACACAGATGAGGACCATCAGTGAGTCTGGACATGTGGCCTATGAGTATTTAAATAATGATAATATGCACAATACATTAACATGTTAAAAAATATAGCTTCAAAAATAGATTTACAGTTTCGTGACACTTGTGTAAAGCTGATAATAGTGTATAGCAAGATTTTTTGGTTTGTGTATCAACCCTTTCTAGATTTGATTAAAAATCCCTTCCTACCTTGATTTATTTGTTTTAGTTTAATTACCAGTACTTTTAATGGGAATCTAGCTCCATGGTTCTCTTTCTGCATTCAAATTTGGTTGACTGTGTTACAGTGTTATGTTCAAACTAGACAGAAGCAAAGTTCACTCCTTCAGTTTAGCTAACAGGGGATGCTTAACTAAAGCTGGAAGATGACATGATATGATATTAAGGCACACTATCATATATTGATGTAATAATTTACTGCTGCATACCTGTGCAAATGACTCCAGCATCAAACGCATGATCACAGTTATGTTTACCCCATCCTGTTGATGCACAGTTCTTCAGTGAAGACTCTGAACCACTGCAGTTCACATTGTCCATCCATATTAGTCCGTTACCACGTCCGAAATGAGCATATTTTGGAGCATCTACAGCCTCTCCACAGCCCAGCTCTCTACACACCACTGCAGCATCACTCATATCCCAGAAATCACTACAAACTGTTCCCCACTGTCCTCTATGAAGAACCTCCACTCTCCCAGCACAGCGACTGCCACCATCCACCAACCTCACACTGACTGTACAACAAAGAGAAACAGAGAAAAAGACGAAGATTGTCAGATTAGTGTGAAAATTTTAAATGCAGCACATCAGTCTAAGAATAAAAGATTAACAGGTATACATGCAGCTCTTACCAGCACACACCAGACCCACATCACTGTCATGGGAACAGTTTTGTTTGAGTGAAGATGATGTTGGACAGAAGTGAATCTGAGATTCGTTGCCTCTACACTGAAGCTCCTCTGACCACACCTGACCCTCCCCGCTGCCAAAAGCAGCTGCTCCCAGCACCTCCACAGGAAGCCCACAGCCCAGCTCTCGACACACAACCTCTGCATCCTGCTGGTCAAAGTCAGCATCACACACTGTGGACCAGGTCTCTCCATGAAGCACCTCCACTCTCCCAGAGCAGTGAGAACCACCAACCAGCCTGACTCCTGAAACAAGAATGTCCCTACATCACTTTCAGCTTTCACCAATTTTTTTAATTAAAATAGTTAACTTTCTCAATATGATATACTATAAATATTTGTGGATCTCTGTGGGTTGTTGCAGTGCATACTTGTGACAAACAATTGTCTAGTGTTAGTAGTTCAGAGATATGATTTACCCAGTTCTGCAAGCTGTGACAGGTCACTTAACATTTTTCAGCATGTTAGAAATGATCAGCGTAATATGTTGAAACATCCACAGCAAGTATGGAAAACAGGAATGAGCTACAGCCAATGAGAGCACAAGGGCCAGCACATGAGCTCACAAGGTAGGCACTATAAAAAAAACATTCGATAATTCACTGAATTTAAAAAGTAAGTAAACTAGTCGCCTTAACATGTTCACTGAACTTCTAATAGTAAGTTAACAGAATTGTAATCTGTGATTTACACTGTATTAGCCTATCATTTAATGTTCAATGAACTTAAAATGTTAAGTAATAAAGACTACTTAATTTAAATTACAACATTAAATTATCTTTTTTATGGGAACAACCAAAACATCAACAATCGTAGTGAAAGCCAATCATATTTTGTGTAGACACAGATAATAAGAAGAGGTTAGAAGAGCTCTGGCAAAATGGCACTGCAACTTTACTTGAACCTGCTCCTGAAAACTACAGAATCATACATACAGTAAGACAGGGCAGGTGAAGATGAGGAGTAGCATGCATTTCCAGTAGTGACTTCAACAAAAGTAGTGACTTTAGCAAAAATACCACTGAATGAATACGTTGTGATCAACCTTTTTAGAAACACTTCTATGTTATTAATTGCAATATATAGACCTCCCAAGCCAATTAGTAATTTTTGGCAGAAATTGCAGAACTAATATCAATTGCATCCACAAATGATTCAGATCTACTATAATGCTATGAAAAAATCAGGAGTCATACTTCTCTGTGATTAAGAAACAAAAAGATGTTACCAATGTTTTTTTGTTTTTTTTTCACCATAGACCAACTAATTAATCCTAACCAAAATAAAATAGCCTTGATAAGACAGAGTGTGGCTCAGCCTACTGAAACAAGCTCCTATAACCTTCCTACATCAGTGACGGCATCTTTCTCTACTATTAGGAGCTTACAACTGTTATAAACATATTAACTTATTCCACATGTGATCTTAACCTTGCTCCTACTTCTCTCCTTAAGAGGGATTTTGTGTTCAAAATGATTTCTTAAGGATTTTTAACTGTCAACAGACGCTTTTAAAACTGCCCTGGTGAAGCCTTTTGCTAAAAAAGAGCACTCAATAATTTTAGACCCATTTCAAACCCTCCTTTTAAAGCAAAGTCTTAGAAAAAGTTGATTTTAAATAATTAAACGTTTGTCTAATATTAAACTATTTCAGAAATTTTAATCAGGTTTTCTAATCATAGTACTGAGGCAGCATTAGTTCCTGTTGTTGTCATGCATTCCTCCGGGTCTGACTCTTTAGAGAACTCTAATTCCCAGAACTCCCTTGGAAATTACGTGACTGCTGCTCCACCATCCAAAGCCAATCAACATTCCCCTTCACCCAAACACTAATCTGTCACACCTGTTCTGTTTTTCACAAGATTTAGAGTAGTTAGCATATAAGCCTGGGTTTTCTCTTTTGTTTTTACCTTTTGTGTGTTTGGACTGTATTTTTGGACCTTTGACTTTGACTTTGCCTTTTGCCTTTTGCCTTTTGCCTTGCCCTCGCCCTCGCCTTGGTTTTGTTTGCCTGTTTCTGTGATGTTTGTCTTGTTTCCTTTTGGAGTGGCCTTTTTGGTGTTGACATGTATCTGTTTTCTGTCAACTAGCTTGGATCATGTTTCAAACAGTAAAGCTTCTGTTTCTAATTACATCCACAAGCATTTGATCAGTTGTGTCATGTTACAGTTGCAAATGACCTCAGGCTTAGGGCTGGATCTTAGTGCAGCTTTTCATGTTGTTAACCATAAGATTCTAATCCACCATCTTGAATACTGGGTAGGCCTCTCAGGCACAGTTTTAGAATCATATTTAAAATCATGTCTAACAAATGTGATTTAACAAATGTGCTCAGTGAGGAATCATTCTTCAAAAAATTTAGTCCCACAACGTTCAGTTTTAGGACATTTGCTTTTCTCTTTGTACATGTTACCTCTATGTGATGTCATTAGGAAATATACATTTTCCTAACTATGCTGATGACACACAATTATATATTCCCATTCCTTCTGATAATCAAGACTCTATTGACAGGCATATCAGCTGTGGGTCAGGTATTTCTCAGTGAATGTCACCAACTGTCCTACAGCTAAATCATGAAAAAAACTGGAATACTGATCCTTGATACTAAAATTCAGAGCAAACTACTTTGTGAGAATCTGGGCTCTTCTGCTTCATAAACCAAACTTGAAGTACGAAATCTAGGTGTGATCTTAGACTCTGTTTACTGGGTTTCCTAAGAAAACAATATATCCCTTGCAACCTATATACAATGCACCAGCATGGATCCTAACAACAACAAAATCACTCCTGTTTTGAAAAACAACTGCACTAGCCATCTATATCTTTCAGGATAGATTCTTAAGTTCTGCTACTAGTTTTAAGGCTTTAAATTACCTAGCAGCTGCTTACATCACAGAGTGTCCATCTGTTTATGTTCTGGCATGTAATCTTAGATCTGCAGATTCTGACCTTCTGCAAATACCTTCCATAAAATATAGAAAACATGGAAAGACTTCTTTCAGTTTTCATGCTTCCAGACTCAATTCCACCTTTTATTAGACATTCAAGCTTGGTGCACACTTTAAGAAAAAAAAAAAATTGAATATCATTATTTATATATAAAATTATTATTACTTGAGTGAATCACTTTTTAGCAACACCCACCTGAACAAATGACTCCAGCATCTTTAGAGTGATTACATTTATGCTCATGCCACCCTGGTGATGTACAATTCTTCAGTGAAGACTCTGATCCACTACAGTGCATGTAATTCATCCAGACTGGTCCTGATCCTGGTCCAAAGTGAGCATCAGTCACTGCATCTACAGCCTCTCCACAGCCCAGCTCTCTACACACCACTGCAGCATCACTCATATCCCAGAAATCATCACACAGTGTTCCCCACTGATCATCATGAAACACCTCCACTCTCCCAGTACAGCGTCTCCCACCATCCACTAACCTCACACTGTCTGTAGAATGGGAGGGAGAGAGGAGTATAGATATTGAAAGATATACATAGATAGAATCAAAGCAAGAATATAATCATCATACTGTATGTCTCACATCAGAAATCATAATAAAAGCATCACACATAGCATGTCAGTTGAGTCAAAAGCAGTTTATTGTGTTAAGTGTTTTTACCAAAGGCATCGTAGTGAGGATTTCCTGAGCAGATGACTCCAGCATCTGCATTATGATTGCAGTTATGTATACCCCACCCTTTTGAGCTACAGTTCTTCAGTGAAGATTCTGATCCTCTACAGGATACATTATCCATCCAGATTTGTCCTGATCCTGGTCCAAAAAAAGCTCGGCCCACTGCATGTAGAGGCTCCCCACAGCCCAGCTCTCTACACACCACTACAGCATGATGCTTACTCCAGCCTGAATGACACACTGTTCCCCACTCTCCTCTGTGAAGAACCTCCACTCTGCCAACACAGCGACTGCCACCATTCACCAACCTCACGCTATCTGTACCACAGAGAGAGAGAGAGAGAGAGAGAGAGAAATTTGAAAAATGCATTGTTATCTAGCTCCAAAAACACAACTTTTTGGAAGATGTCTGACTATAGTGATGCGCTGATCTATTTTTTATACAGCTATTAAATACATAAATATCCTCTTCTTAAAAACTATGTAATTTGAATATTGTTAAAAACGTTTTAAATATCGCTTTAATGTAAAGGAAAAAAAATTAACAAAATGACACAATTCCTGACTGTAATCTGTCTGTTTCTCTGCATACTTTGTTAGGCCCCTTTACCCTGTTCTTCAACATTCAGGACCCCCACAGGACCACCACAGAGCAGGTCTAATTTGGGTGGTGAATCATTCTCAGCACTGCACTGACACTGACATGGTGGTGGTGGTGCGTTAATGTGTGTTGTGCTGGTACGAGTGGATCAGACACAGCAGTGCTGCTGGAGTTTTTAAACACCTCAGTGTCCCTGCTGGACTCTGCTGGACTCAGTGCACCAACCAAAAATATCCAGGGGATGAAGGAATAAAGGACGACTAAAACAAACAGTGCAAGAACAGAGCTACTGTCTCTGACTTTATATCTACAAAGTGGACCAACAAGGTAGGAGTGTCTATTAGAGTGGACAGTGAGAGGACACAGTGCTTAAAAAGTACAGCAGCACTGCTGTGTCTGATCCACTCGTACCAGCACAGCACACACTAACACACCACCACATCAGTGTTACTGCAGTGCTGAGAATGATCCACCACCCAAATAATACCTGCTCTCTGAAGAACAGGGTGAAAAGGGGCTAAGAAAGTGTGCAGAGCAACAGATGGACAACAGTCTGTAATTGTAGTACTACAAAGTGCACCTAGTGCAGTAAGTTGAACTGATAAAATGGACAAAGAGGGGAGATGTACTTAATGACGTTAGTGTGTATGTGAAATTTTATGACATGGCGATATTTAGCAATGCTTAAAACCGAAGACACACATACAGAACTTTAAAAAGATAGAAATTAATTTGATATTCAGCCCTTTCTTGACATGTTTTCTGTAATCTTTCAATTTCATCCACTTTTGTGTATCTCTCTTTTTTAGTTCGTTCTCTCTATGTATATACAATCCATATCTAAATATCTATATATATATATATATATATATATATATATGTGTGTGTGTATGTATATATATGCACAGTTTCTTACCCCTCTTTGACCCTGTTCTTCAATATATAAAGAGAGAGAGAGAGAGAGAGAGAGAGAAACAATTTTATACAACTATTTTATTGATTACATATTGGAGTGTACTTACCAGCTGTGGTGAGTGTGATTGTGGAAAGAATAATGAGAGTCACACAGCTGTCCATCTCCCTCTGACCTGCACACAGTCTGTTCAACTCAGCAGCAGAACAAGCTTCACCTCCACTCCCCCAGAAAGACTGAAGAAACTGAGAGAGAGAGAGAGAGAGAGAGAGATCCCCACAGCCACCAATCACACTCACTATGACCTTATTAGAAAGAGGAGAGGAAATCATCAAACATTTTCAGTGACAAATCAGAGGAGGCATTTTTTTCTTTCTCCATATTTATCAAAAGAGCGTCAGCACTGATGAACAGAACTCCACCTCTGTCTCTAGAGGTGAGTGTGTGAGGAGAGACGCTCGCAGCAGTGTGGTGAGAAACACACCAACATACAGGAGACTGACTTCAGAGAGAGGAAACACTCCAGTGTAATACAGCATTAATGCTGCACCTGCAGAGAGCTGATCCACACACTGATAACCATCACACACACACACACAGAGATAATCTATTCGCACACACAAGCTGCTCTGATTTAAAATAGACAAACATAAATATTATTTTATTACATATATAAGTTTAAAATAAAAAATTGCACAATAAAAGATTTTAATGTACTGATCTGATCTAGGAAATATGCCGCTTTTTAATACAGAACCCACAGTATAACAAAATCATGATAATAGTTGAACTTTAAAGAATACAATATAATTTAATAAATACAATGTATTGTTCATCACAATTCATTACCCTTTTATCACAATCATTTAGTTTATCACTTTTACCCACATAATTGTAGTTCAGGTCTTACAGAAACTTTGCTTAGTCACTGTCATGCGTTTTATTCTCCACAAGGTGGCAGCAGAGGATTAAAAATCAGTCAATGTAGTAAATTTCAGCTTAAAACTGTGCAGTGCCAGAAGGATAAGCAGCTTAGAAAATGTGTATGTGTCTGTGTGTGTGTGTGTGTGTGTGTGTGTGTGTGTGTGTGTGTGTGTGTGAAGTGGATTTTCACTGAACTGATCAGCTGAGAACACCACGGCTGTCCTAACATGACTTCATTGTTCTCTTGTGATATATAATAATGAATTAAAAATAAAATTACATTGAGTGTTTAGAATTATTTTATACCACTTTAATTTTGTCTTCACTTCAATTTCAGCATTAAGCATCTGCATCTCTATCAATATTACAATTTTGTTTTACAATTGCTTAAGCATGATTTTGAAAAATCAAGCTCACTTTCTCCAAACACTACACACAATTCACACAGCCACACACACAAGCAGCAGAACACCTCAGATCTTTTGCAAAATGAAACACTTCATTGAAATTATACAATAATTTATGAAAACCCAATTTTGTCACCTTATGGCACACAAAGAGTTTATGTAATCTGTTTCTATTTAAACCAGTTACACACTGCTGTGCTCAGTGTAAAAAGTACGTGAATAACACAACACAACACACAAGACCAACACTGCTGAAAATTTTTATTCCTCTCCACACTGTAACATTAGTCAGTGCATCCATGCATTTCCAAAGGCTGCATTTAACTTGTTACTTTTTTATAATGCTCATGCGTGGTTGGTATGTTCACAATTAAACACCTAAGTGTCTGCACACTTGACAGCTGTGTTACAAGAAATGGCAATGGCGTGACATCATGTTAGATCTCTGTGTCTAATACTTAGTGGTTTGCAAAACATAATGAGTTGTGTTTTGCTAAAAGTGTGAGTCTGAGAATGAGCTTATAGTTGTGCAGATCTGGGCTGAGGACTTGCTCCTTCAGAGTTTCATTAACTGTGTTATTACTAATTTTATTATGAAAGCAATCATAAAAAGTTGTAATGCCCTATAGATGTGATGACGCAGTACTAGATAAGTAAAAATAAATGCACAGGAATTAATGATGTGGAAATGAAAAAAAAAAGAAGTTGAAAATAAAATTCTGTATCCAACCAGGGATATCAAACCAATCAGGGAATGCTGCCACCCCAATACTTTTTTTTTCCCTGTATCATTAGGAGGAGCAATCAACTTTCTGGACTTTTAGTTGTATGGACACTACAAGTTGGTATCCCAAATGTGGAGCAGAACATACAAACTAGATTTACACATCAATTCAGAATCACCTCGTCCTCTTCCTCCTCAGCAGCTGCAGGGAGCCCAGCATACTCAGATGCTAATAGAGGACAGCCACTGAGAAATTTTCAATAGTGAGCCTCAGCACTTGTAAATTAACTTAAGCATTATTTGTCATATTGAATGTTGACAGTAATCATTTTGTGAACACATATAAACACTGCCCTCCCAATGTCCAGCAGCCATGTATGAAAATACATTCATGTACAACCCAATTGCAGCACCTGGTATAGGTTGCAGGTCAATGTTCTGTTTTAGGAATATGATGCATGTCAATGTATCAGACTTTGACCGCGCTGCTCTTTCAGCCACGTTCTGCATCTACATATTACTTGAACACACCACGTGCACATCACATGGTCATTACCACGCCCAAGATTTCAGGAATATGTTTTGCTATAGATTAGTAGAGATTTCAGAATTGATCTGTAATTTTCGTTTCGACTTATATCAATATCAGACACGATTGCATGCAGTGAAAGTAAGATCTTATCAGATACACATTTAAAAATGTATGGAAAAAGTCAAAGGTGGCTGTATACGTGAATGCTGTATTAGGACTACACTGGTTGGTGAAGGACTACAAATTCCACAGTGCACCATGTTTGGCTCAGGCAGGAACCTGCAGAGCCAGTATGCATTTTAGAAGCATTTTTGCTAATTATACCTCTTTTGTATATAGTCTGCATTTTTCATATTATATATGTTCTTAACAGAAGACTAAGAAATTGGATGAAGTTCTTCTGTTAGAGGCTATACCTCTTCAGTTCAGACGCGCTGGCCTTTCATTCATACAGTGTTTGTGCTGCGGAGCGGAGCAGTGAGAAAGTTATACAGACATTCCTGTTTCCAGATGGATAAATGGCTACATCAGGCACTCTGCTTAATACAAACATCATTTTTGAAAGTGCACGGTATATTTATTTATCTGCATTCTGACCTGTAGTTAGGCAAAAGATTTTGAATGCCTGGTAGGCCAACCAGGAAATCTGTTTGCAGCATGGAATGTTTAACTAGTATTTTGTCATGACTTACATTGAACAGTGCTGAAGCAGAGCACTATCACCTCTGTGGAGAGACTAGTTGATGGGTTTTTCTGTTTCAAACCATCTGAGGAGCCACACAACTTTGAGCAGCCTACTTCTCCACCTTGCTACCTTACATCAACCCTCTGGGGTCCACGAACCCACCTGTGTGTCAAATTCGACGTAAAGAGCTGTTAAGTCTGCCTTAACTTCACCCCTAAGACTTCATCACCTTGTTTACTATAAATGTTTTACACTATTATTTCTTTTTGGATTTTTTTTTTTTGCTTGAAGTACAGTACGTGTACACATGTCACCAGGCAGGGTATGATAATTTAAAATTTGAGTATCACGGCTAAGCTTACTACTTGTTTGTAAACATTTTTCTTTGAAGACATTTAGAGCCCTTGAGGTATAAAATACCTTACGAAGACATCACTGATGAAAAGTCATGTACTCAGAAAATGTGTATTTATTTTATTTATATAGACAACGTAATTTTCTATGTTCTATGTTCTACAAAAAACATTTTTTGTTGATTTTAGTATTTTAAAAAATATAATTATATAATATAATTAAATATAATTATAAAATTCTGTTTTCAGTTTTTGCAATGAAATGAAATGACTGAGCTGATTGGATGGCTCCATCTGTTGTATGAAGGACAGGGCCAGGTTGACCACATTGTCTACAGATCTTTTAGCTTTGTATGTAAACTTCAGGGGATCCAGAAGAGGGTTTGTAATGGCCTTCATATGGGTTCAGACCAGGTGTTCAAAGACCTTCATTACTACAGAGATCAGGACAACTGGGCTGTAGTCATTTAGTCCAGTTATGTTTGTTTTTTTGGGGACAGGAATAACGGAAGATGTTTTCAAACACATGGGAACAGAGCAAAGTTCCAGTGATTTGTTGAAGATGGGAAGATGGTGGTGAAAAGCAGTGTTGGTCACAGCAGTGCTTTAGGGCGGATGAAGAGACTCTGTCTGGAAAAAGCCTGTCAATGTCCTGACTGTCCTGCTGGGGGTGAGGGCAGTGGGCAAAGGTGCAAGAGCCAGGGTGGGGGGGGGCAGGGTGAGAGACTGGCAGAGAAAGGGTGGAGATTCTCATCTGTGTGTTCAAATCTACAGTAGAACTCATTCTGGTCGATGGTGAACTGGAGCTTGACATGGCTGCTCCTTGACATAGAAGCAGATTCCTCCTCACCTGGTCTTTGCCTGCTCCGTGCAGCTGGGGTCCGGGGTTCTTTGCACTACTGGTTTCCCTTCATTCCTTTTTTCATTCTTTTCCCAGCCTAAAGTTACTTCCTACCAACTCCCCCACCATTTTCTGCATGTAAAGAGTGATGATTGTGATGATGTCATGATATTTCTTTTCCATTCAGTATTCATCAACACGCAACACACCCATCAGGTACTGCATTATATTAACTCATGTTGTAGTCAAAACCGCTAGGTCTGAGTCAAGATTGAGACCAGGAGTGGCTGAGGCCGAGACAAAACCGAGATCAGATTATTATTATTTTTTTTTTCAAAAAATTGATTGTAATTAATTGTACATTTATTATCATTACTTATATAAGTAAATAAGTAAATAAGCATAAGTAAACATTACTACATTGTCCATTATGTATTACTGTAACAATGACTGTTTAGGGGGAAGTTAATAATAATATGTATGAAGAGTAAACTACAGCTTTCAGTAACATTATTATTCCATTGATGCCAGTAACATTTTCTGGTAGAGTTTAGTGCACAGAGAAAGCCCTGTTTATTCTGGTTTTATTGACATTCAATAATAATTCAGCTTCTAGTTACCTCAGAAGGATTCATCATGCTTTTTTATTTATAATTGTTTAATTTTTTCATATTGTGAAGTTTATTTGAAGGTTAGAGTTTATTTTTTTGTCTTATATCTTTTATATATATATATTTATATCTTTAATATTAGATATATTGTCTATAAAGTAACAAGTAACAAACTGTAACCATATTAATTATCAAAGTTAATACTTTGTTAATTCTCTTCTTGTTACTACTGTTTCTTGAGTGCCTTGCTATTCCTTTACTGCTGTAGCACTGTGAAGGTCTCTGTTGTGGGATTAATAAAGGATTATTTTATATTATCTCTCTTATCAGACTCGGCTGGTCTTGACAAAAGTTTCAGAGTCCACCTTCCCCAAGATCGAGAAAAGACCAACTCTCAATGAGGTCAAGACTAAGACTAGACCAAGACCAGTCTTGTGACCAAAACTCGAGTACTACAACACTAGTATTAACTATGGGAATGCGACTAGCATAGCATTAGCAGTTTTAACCAATGAGCACAAATCTTTATCTTCCAAGGTGAGTTTGCACCCCTGTTGTCACATGATCTAAACATGGCATCACCAGAGTGTGGACCCACCCCTTTATGATAAAATAGGTCACAGAAGCTTCTGAAGCAGTTTGAGTCTTAGTCTCAGATGTGTTTACATTATGAAAGAAACTTAAAGAGAATGACAAATCAGTTTTATACAGTGTTTCATTTTTGTGGTCATAAACATCACTTATTGCTCTGTTTAAAAGGGATGTAGAAATTATTTTGCAATAAAAATCCACAGAGCCAAATAGTGATTTGCTGATTAATTTAATTTATCTAAAGGACAGTTTTATAATTAAAACAGGAATAAAAGAAAAAGGGAAAATCAGAAATAAGAAAAATAAGGCAACATGAATTAAAACCTCAATAAATCTCATCTTTATACTCTGAATATTTCATCTGTGTTTGATGATCAGCACAGAGAAGGGAGGAGTACAGAATCATCTCTCACACCACAGTAATAGATTCCACACATTACACACCTAAATCATAAGAAACTCCAGATACAGAATTTAATATGCAGTCATTATTAATCATGTGTGAAAATCATCTCAAATTATCAGCATAATAGTCACACAATCATTATAGGCTTGTAAATAACATAAGAGAGAAGATCCTGAATCCTTTTCTTACAGTGTAAGCAGTAAAAAGTAGAACCAGGCAAAAGTTGACTTGAAGTGCTTTTGAGGTTTGAACTGATGTAAAATATTGTGTTTGTTCATTTAAACAAAACATTTGCTTTACATTGTTTCATTAAAGTATTATTTTACTTTTGTTTGAGATGAAAAAAAAACAGTCAAACAGCTTCTTACAATTTTTTTTTACAGTGTGGCACAATATTAGGTGAGTAATCTATGTGTTATAATTGCTCTATAAACAGTTATAAGGGGCTGCTTGAGTTTGAATACCAACACTGAAAATAGAAAGCTGTCATACAAATTAGTTACAGTGAAACAGCACATTACTGTTTGTGACGGAAAAACACTGAACATTCTTTGGCTTTGGCTGAGAAAAATATAATTTCTCATAAAATCTGTTAACTGATCGCTCCAGATACTAAATGTTTTCATGCCAATTAAAAAAAGTTGGATTAAGAAATTAAAGTAAAATTATAATCAGATGTGTCAGTAAATGTGTCTAAGATTGGAAGAACTCAAAGAAAGTGTTAAAATTTGTAATTTGTTTATACAAATTAGGGGATGTTTAAACCACTTTTTCATTTATGCTCCATAAAACATTTTGACTTGTGATTAATGATAAAATCATTCTTTGCATCTGAAGAGGTTTGAATGTAGTTTACTGAGGAAAGACACTGGCCGTGGTCTCTCAGTCATATGATTCGGCTCTGTCTGAGGCTCCTCCTCCACATCATCATAGTCTGGAAAATAAGTACATTTATCTCATATAACACGTCACCAGTGGGGAAAACTAAAATAAAAAAATTACCAATATTATCATCTTTCACCTGCCCCTCCAACCACCCCCACCTATCATTGAGAGTAAACGCTGAGCTAGTTCAGAGACCTGCTGAGATACTGTGTTTTATTTAGAAATACATAATTATATGGAAGAAAAATGTGTCATGTTTTCTGATTCACATTAACTTTAAACTCCCGGAACATCTGCACTGACTTCATTTTTTTTGGTTTACTCATTTGTTAAAATCACTAATGCAAATCTAGTAACTCTTTATATTTCTTGTATAATGCCTTAGTTACTTAAGTAAAGTTAGTTAAGATCAGTTAAGCTCTATAGACTAAAGAATCTTTGGTAACACTTTCTATGAATGTCACATTTGAAAGCATCTATAAACACATTTATAACATGTTATAATGCATTCATTAGACATTATAAACATAGCTATAAATATTTATAAAAATGCATTATACGTTATAGCTATGTTTATTATGCATTATGAATTGTTAACATAATACATTATAAGTACTGATCATAACAAATTCTAAGAGCTCATAACTTGTATTTGTCCGCTCTAAGTAAAGTGAAGCATACTGTACTAAAGCCTCCTCCAGTGTTGAGAGTGAGGCTTCAAGTTGAAACTAGTTTAAACTAGTGCTGCCATCAGTGTTTTACCCAATGTGGGAAAGTCAATGTACACCACCGTTAGCCTGGTATTTGTCTTTACACTCTCCAAGCTGGGACTGACTTCTTTGGCACTGACATTATAACAAGTTATTAACACTATTTATAATGCATTATGTTAACAATTCATAATGTATAATAAACATGGCTATAAAGTGTAATTCAGTGTCATTCTTTTTAATAAATATTTATAACCTTGTTTATAATGCCTTATGAAAACATTATAACATGTTATAAGTGTGTTTATAGATGCTTACAAAGGTGACATTCATAGAACGTGTTACCTTTTTTTTGTCTTTGCATAACAGTGTTATTTTTATGTTGTAGTATATGCTCATGCTAAAGTTTGCATGCATTTTACATTTTTTTTTTTATTCTCACCATGATGGTGTTTTGTCCTGAGGTAAAGAATCCAATCAATTGTATTGAGTGAAGTAATGTTATTTGAAAGTTAATTAATGGTTATACTTTGCACATGTATATTTTGTTCCCTCAAGAACCAGATTAACCTGTAACCATAGGAACAAAAAAGGAATTTATCAGAAGATATTTTCAGTATTTATCTAACTAACCACCGCTATGTTAAAATGTTCACTGTGTATAAGAGGCCAGAGTAATGACAGTGAATACTGAATGAGTTTTACCTTAAAGAGATTCTCCTGAATGGAAGTTAATCTATAAAGCTGTAAAAATACTGTGACTCTTTATAAAGTGTATAATTTAATCGACTTCTTCTTTTTCTTAAGCATCTTCATGATCTCTAGTATCAGACTCATCATGTTTAGAACTCAGACAGACATAGAGAGAATTGGTCACTTCCAGTTCTGCCAAAATGACAGTGCTGCACTGATGATATTCAGTATTACAGTCAGACTCACCAAACTCTGCTAAAGAATTATTCAAGTACACTTCATAGACATGAACTGTATTTAGAGTGAGCAGGTGAATAAGATAAATTACTCCTCTGAACTGAGTACATGAACAGTGCAGTAAAAATAACAGCCTTCTGCCCAACATCAAAACAATGAGTTCATTGATAATTTGCTACAAATAATATAAACATGTTTTTGGCAGATTTCCTGTACACTTGGTTTAAATTACTTACTTATTCAACTCAAAACATTATGTTGGTTGAAAGAATTATTTGTTCAATGTATTTCTTTAAGTTTAATAAAACTACCTAATTTACTTTCATTTTTAGGTTGAACTGACAAACCACTGTTACAGTGTGGCAGCATAAACAACAAGATTGACCACTCACCTTTTACCTCTCCTACATCCTGTTCAGCAGTGATGACTTCATAGTTCTCTGGTGTGTCCACTACACCAACAATGAAAGATAAATTACAACAGCAAGAAACAAACAAGAGATGTGTTAAACTGTGTTGAAGCTGCAGTTTTAAATTATTTGTCTATATTAGGTAAACCCTACTTGTCATAATGTTGGAGTTTGGTTCAGTGGTAACATGATCATCATAGTTATCTGTCATGTCTTCTGTCAAAATGTAGAGATAAATGTCATTAAATCAGCATCAGTATCATCGGAGACTGTGTTCATGTTTGAGATTACACACACACACACATCACCTAAACCGCTTATCCTTCTGGGTCGCGGTGGGTTGCTAAAGAAAGAACATTATGACCACCTTGTTGTTTCTATGCTCATTGTTCATTGTATCAGCTCCACTTAGCATATAGGTATACTTTGTAGTTCTACAATTACAGACTGTAGTCCGTACTATATGGGTGGTGGATCATTCTCAGCACTGCAGTAACACACACACACACACACATATATATATATATATATATATATATATATATATATATATATACATAAATCTCTAATTGATTTCTACTTCTTTCTAAACTAAAATTCCAAATTATAAACACACCTGCCTTACTATCAGAGATCTGTCCAGGAGTCATGACATCATCATAGCTCTATGTTGTGTCCTCTTTTGCTGTTTCACCTAAATCAAATAAAAGTAGACTGACTTTACAAACAGTGCAATCATATTTTATATTCTGATTAAACGTAAATATAAAAGGGTAACACTTTATAATAACTTTCATTAACATACCATTAACTAATGATTAATAGCGTAATAGTGAGTTCATGAGAATTTGAAAATCAACAAATGTTTACAAATGACAGTTCATGTAGTTACCAATGCATGTATTCATATTTACAAATATGTTAATGAATCATTTGTTCATCAGAATTGGAAAACGAATAAATGACTAGTTAATGAGGCTTTGAAAATGAGCCAATGTTTAATAATGATAGTTCATGTTGCCAATGTGTGCATTCATACTTTCAAACATGAACAAATCTTTAGTTCTTAAGAATTTGAAAAGGTACATAAGTTTATGATTGGCAGCTTGTGTATAACAGTGTGCTGTCTCAGAACAGTGTGTGGCGCTGCTACAAGTGTATAACACACAATGGTGCTGCTGCGGTTCTACATACCTCAGTGTCACTGCTAGGCTGAGAGGGCTCCAACCCCCAAAAGTATCCAATCAAGAGCAGCTCTGTGCTCCTGTTCACCTACAATGTGCTTCAGCAAGGCAGATGTGTCTAATAAAGTGACAGCAAGTCTATATTATGGCTATTATGAATAATTATGAATAAGTATGTATAAGTCTCAAAAAATGTTAACAAATATGTTTAAGCTATATATGCATCAGTTATAGACTTTTTTGCAGCACCTGAACTAAAGTTGAAACTCTTCATTATTAGTTAATATTTCTAAAGGCTTACAACCTATTAGTGAATATGGATTTCAATTTCATATGCATGTTAACACATTATCACTCCTTACATACACTCATGTAAGACTGGACATCTCCATACAGTAATTCGTAATTAAGAAACATTAATTGATTATATATAAACCTTTTGACAGTACATACTCCAAAATGAACCACATTCACTATTTCTTAAATACTGTAAATGTTTATCAGCCACTGGCATTTAACACATATTTACCGGTCAACAATGAATTCAAACTAAGCCAAAACTAAATTGAACAATGACTTTAATTGGCATTTGCTCAACAATTACAAAAAAGACAGAAATTTGCTCAAGTACGAAAAAGAAGAAATGAACTTAAAAATTACTAATAAAAAATGAGGAAATTTGTTCAGCAATTGCAAACAAAAAAAGTCACTCAATGAAAGTAAGAGTTCAGTTTACATTCTTTCAGTGAATTCATTTATTTTTCTCTCCTTTGCACTGTTAAGCTGCACAGTTGTGTCAGTCACTTGTACTTCCTGGAAATGTCATGAAAAAGTCTTCCTAGTGCTCCATTTTTTTGTTTTTTAGCAAGCCATTTATTCCACTCAATTACATTAAGGTGGTCTTCCAGTAAACCCTTGGTTCTATTGCCCCTCACCCTCCACACATTTTCCTTAAATGTGCGCCATGCTCTCTCAATATGCTGAATGTGGGCATCACTCCTGGGGTCTATGTAGCAGACATTGCGGTTTACAGTAAAGTGACTGTATCCCAGGCGTTCCAGAGCCCCTTGATAGCCTCGCCACTCATCACTTATCACTGCTGTGCCAGTCCTGACATGGTGGATGATAAGTGGTAGGAGGTGAGCTCCTGATTTTCACTCTACCAATCGAAGGACTGGTTTGCCCGTGTTTCCCGCTTCTTTTTTGACACCCAGCATTCCAAACACTAATTTTTTTTTTCCACCCACGTGTCATTCATCCTCTCCCATGCTGTAAAAAAATGTGAATCCACATGTAACCTCTTTTATTAAACTCTTTATTTGAAAGCTGCTATGATACTTCAGTCTTCCTGTACAGTTTATAATAGACAGTGTTTGCATGAGATCCATCATAAAGTCCACCTCCCTGTATCTGACCTCATTGTACATTTTATCAGCTCCACTGACCATATAGTTTCACTTTGTAGTTCTACAGTTACAGACTGTACTCCATCTGTTTCTCTGCATACTTTGTTACCCTGTTCTTCAATGGTCAAGACCCCCACAGGACCCCACAGAGCAGGTACTATTGGGTGGTGGATCATTCTCAGCACTGCAGTAACACTGACGTGGTGGTGGTGTGAGTGGATCAGACACAGCAGTGCTATAGACATCCAGCCAACAGCTTCCTGTGACCACTGATGACACTGATGAGGACTAGAGGATGACCAATACAAACTGTGGAGTCAGTGTTCCTGCAGTGCAAAAAAAAAAACTGATCCACCATCCAAATAGTACCTGCTCTGTGGGGGTCCTGATCATTGAAGAACAGGGTAACAAAGTACGCAGAGGAACAGATGGACTACAGTCTGTAATTGTAGAACTACAGGACTACAAAGTGCATCTATATAGTATAGTAAGTGGAGCTGATAAAATCGACAATGAGCGTCGAAACTACATATATATATATATATATATATATATATAGTGGTTGAAATAAGCATTGAACACGTCACCAATTTTATTTTAAATATAATTCTAAAGGTGCTATTGACATGAAATTATCACCAGATGTCGGTAACAACCCATCCAATCCACACATGCCATAGATGTCCATAAATTAAGTTTTATGTAATAATGAGAAATGACACAGGGAAAAAGTATTGAACACGCTTACTGAAATTTATTTAATACTTCGTACAAAAGCCTTTGTTGATGATGACAGCTTTAAGATGCCTCCTGTATGGAGAAACTAGTCGCATGCATTGTTCAGGTGTGATTTTGGCCCATTCTTCCACACAAACACTCTTCAAATCCTCAAGGTTCCGTGGGCTCCTTCTATGAACTCTGAGCTTTAGTTCCTTCCATAGATTTTCAATTGGATTCAGGTCAGGTGATTGGCTGGGCCATACTAACAGCTTTATTTTCTTCCTCTGAAACCAATTGAGAGTTTCCTTTGCTGTGTGTTTGGGATCATTGTCTTGCTGAAATGTCCACCCTTGTTTCATCTTCATCCTCCTGGAAGATGGCGGCAGATTTTCATCAAGAATGTCTCAGTACATTTGTCCATTCATCCTTCCTTCAATTATATGAAGCGTGCCAGTGCCGTATGCTGAAAAACAGCCCCACACTATTATGTTCACACCTCCAAACTTCACTGTTGTTATGGTGTTTTTGGGGTGAAACGCAGTGCTTTTTGACCTCCAAACATGGTGTGTATAATGGCATCCAAAGAGTTCAATTTTGGTCTCATCTGACCAGACTATATTTTCCCAGTATTTCACAGGCTTTTCTAAATGTTCTTGAGCAAACTTTAAACACGCTTTAACATGCTTTTTCTTCAGCAATGAAGTCTTGCATGGTGAGCGTGCATACCGGCCATGGCGGTTAAGTGCATTACTTATTGTTTTCGTTGAAACAATTGTACCTGCTTATTCCAGGTCTTTTTGTAGCTCTCCACAAGTGGTCATTGGCTCTTGGACAACTCTTCTGATAATTCTTCTCACTCCTCTGTCTGAAATCTTGCGGGGAGCACCTGGTCGTGGCCAGTTTATGGTGAAATGATGTTCTTTCCACTTCCGGATTATGGCCCCAACAGTGCTCACTGGAACCTTCAGTAGCAATTCTTCTGTAACCAATGCCATCAGTATGTTTTGCAACAATAAGGTTCGGAAGGTCTTGAGAGAGCTCACTGGTTTTACCCATCATGAAATGTTTCTTGTGTGGCACTTTGGTAATGAGACACCTTTTTATAGGCCATCAGTTGAACCAGCTGATATTAGTTTGCACTAAGTGACAGGATTGCTGATAGATTTCAGCTGCTGTCATGACTTTCCATGGCTTTTTGCACCTCTCTTTCTTCATGTGTTCAATACTTTTTCCCTGTGTCATTTCTCATTATTACACATAAGTTATGGATATCTATGGTTTGATTTCTTTGCATGTGTGGATTGAATGGGTTGTTACCGACATCTGGTGATAATTTCATGTCAATAGCACCTTTAGAAATATATTTACTTAGAAAATTGGTGATGTGTTCAATATGTATTTCACCCGCTGTACATATATGGACAAAAGCATTGGGACACTCTTAATAATTAATATCTGGTGTTTAATTGTTTTATTCGGTCTCATTGCCACAGGTGTATAAAATCAAGTCCTAGCCATGCAGCCTGCCTTTACACACATTAGTGAAAGAACAGGTTGGTCTAAAGAGCTCACTGAATCCGAGGGTGGTGCTGTAATAGGAGGCCTCCATTGCAACAAGTCAGTTTGCGAAATTTCTATCCTCCTAGATATTCCATGATTAGCTGTGAGTGGTATTACTGAAATATGGAAGCATTTAGGAACCACAGCCACTCAGCCACGAAGTGTCAGACCACATAAAGTTACAGAGCGGGTCACCGAGTTCTGAGGAACATAGAGCATAAAAGCCACCAATGCTCTCCTGATCAATAACTGCAAATTTCTGAACCTCCTCTGAATTAACATCAGCACAACTTACATCACCAAGCACAGTGATAAGCATGGAATGAAGTGGAGTAAAGCGC